AGGAGAAGCTCGGCCAAACACTAACATATGTGTAAGAGCCAATCTATTAAATATTGTTACGTGTGTTTGGATGGCAGTAAAGTAAATCACCCGCTGCTTGGTATTTCATATTAAAATTAATAAATAATAATAATAAAATTAATCTAGGGCTGTAGGATTTTTTCTCTACCAGATGCGTCGCATCTCAATCGCAAGAGACAGTCTCTCACGATTTATTACGCCCTAAGAATACTGGTGTTCGAGTCGCTCATGGCTGAAACCACCGTGCGACAGTTACTTTTACACACATAAAATTTTATTTATTTATTTTTTTCTTTGAGGTCAGGATTTTTTAAAGGACCTTGAAATTTGAAAAATATATGTATTTACTTCAAACAATTATTTAAAAAAAAATTTGGTGCAATTTAGAAAAACAGTATGACTATCAAATTAAAGAGAAAATTCCGTAGAATTTGTGCATACGGACGGTTAGGTATTGAAAATGCCCTTTTAACATTTTATCATTGAATACCCTTGACATTTTAAAATATTTATTTTCGAAAAAATTATATGTTTACGACTAATATGTACTCGACCGCATCCTCGAATTTCGTTGTGCTAACTTTAACTTTCGGTTAAAAAATAAAATTAATTAAAATTAAATTTTGTGTACCAAAAATTTTAATGGTTTTTAATTCTACAGAATTTTTTCTTTCATTATTTCTCTATTTTTCTATATTGGAATGAAGTTTTTACATAATTATTCATATCTTTGAAACTACAACGTCCTTTCAAAAATCCTGACGTCAGAGAGAAAAACTTAAAACGTAGTTTTACTATATTTGACCCATAGTTTCGTCAGTATATTGACTGATTCATGTATTTGGAANTTACCGTCTCGTTTGCCTTGGTATAGATTGTGTCCAGCAGACCGGCGCCTTGTGCGTGTGTTGATTTCGCGACGACTTGTATGTGAGGTCGCCGCACTCTGACTGCCACACTTGCAGATTGCCTTCGGCTGGGTAGAAGGTGTACAGGCTGTTGGTGGCCGAAGCGATAACCGGCGATCCACCAGCTGCTGCTACCAATGCAGCAGCGGCATCGCCGACACTTGCCGTATTGAGCACTGTGGTGGCGGCTGGCAGCGAAGCTGTCGCATTGCTAGCCGACAATGTCACACTCGAAATAGGTTGCACCAGCAGGGCTTGGCCGGCGGCCGGGCTGCCTGCCCCTACTCCCATCGCCCCGCTGGTGTATTTGTAATTCATCATGCGGGTATTTGTAGCCATGTTGCTCGACACCCCAATCGAGCCACCCAAGCTGTGGCCGCTGTGGCCGCTATGCACGCCGCTGCTGGTAATGCCGCCGCCCTCGTGTTTGAGTATGAGCGCATTGGCAGGGTCATAGCCATGGCGATGACGTGAAATGGCATCAACGGAATGTGAGCGCACATTGGCGCTGCGCGGCAATAGCAGAGTGCGTGAAGCGTGTACTTGCATGCCACCAACAGGCCCCCCAACGGCGTTGTTGTTGTTGCTGCTGCTGCTGGTGTGCGTGCCGCTCAGCGGCCCTTTCATCACTGCTGGAGACATGGCGCGCGTGCGTGCACGTCGAAATCCGCTGGGCACACCCCCGCCGACACCGCTGCCGCCGGGGGTGAAGCGATGATTGTGCACTGTCTGGTGGCCGGCAGCGGAGGCCACCATTGGCTGGCGCTGCTTCTGATACTGTAGACGTTGCATGGGCTGTGGGGAGGCGCCGGCGCTGTTGGTAGGCGTCGTCAAAGCAACGCTGGCGCGTGCCACATTTGCGGTGAGCGCTGCCAAGTTCGATCCTGTGCGATATTGAGTGGCGGACTGGTGCTTGATATTATTGGCGTTGGCGCTGCAGCTGCTGTTGGTGTTGCTGGTCCCATTGCTGTTACTTACTGCCAAATAATTATGTGAATTGTGCACGGATTCAGCTGAGCCGCGTCGCTGTTGTTGCAGCAACAGCAACAGCAACAGCAATAACAACAGCAATAGCAACGTTCACAGAAGCGGTGTTGTTGCAAAGCAGAGTGCCGGCTCAACGCTTGCGCAGCTTTCGTCGGCGGCGACGGGTGGCCTAGCCAACGGCAACAACGGCATCAGCGTCGGCATCAAATATGCCAACAACAACTAGCACGGCTGGTTCATCTGGCGTGTCCACGAGCCGCATCGAAAGCAAGCAGCAAAACTGCAAATTTGCACAAGCAACGCTTGCTGACAATGGTTGCACGCGCCGTCTCAAATTACAAGACGTCACCCGGCGATAAGTGTGGCACCTGCTGCCGCCCCTGCCAGCGTCACCAACTGCCTCTCCACTGGCACTGGAGCTGGAGCTGGAGCTGGAGCTGACATGAAACATACGCCAGATACAACAATGGATAAATTTCACAAAGAACTGGATT